CTGTGCCCACCCTGCTCTGGCCATCACGAGGCACGGGCAGGTGCTTGGAGGGCTGTTGGCATCTTCAGAAAGGCCCGGCCAAGGGGTGCAGGGACCTCTTACCTGGCCATTCAACCCACGTCCCCTGTTCCTGCTGGTCCCTGCGGGTGCCTCCAGGAAAGACCCCGGCTACCCACAGTCCTCCTGTATCTGCAGTAATGGGCTGTGGGAGCTGCTGTCCCCAAGCCCGCTGTGGTGCACGTCCCCCGGCTCCGAAAAAGCTGTTCCCCTGGGGAGCCGGGCCGTTCGTAGCGAGCTCACTGTCTCCCGCAGGGGAGTTTGTGATCTCCCCGGTGGAAGGGGAGCTGCGGGTGCGGAAGGATGCTGAGCTGGACCGCGAGAACATCCCTTTCTATAATCTCACCATTGCCGCCCGGGACCGGGGGATGCCCCCCCTCAGCTCCACGGTGAGTCCTCCACGGAGGCATGCGGGGGCTGCAGGGTGCCGTCGCCCATCCCCAGGTCCTTCCTTGGGATCTCCTCTGCCTTCGCTCTCCCCCTCCTTCCCCCTGTCCCTGGGGCTTTCCTCCCCCAGAGCGTAGTGGACTGAGGGGGGAAGCCCACCTTTTTCCAGGGGAGGCAAAAAAAGAATGGGAGGGATGGAAATAGGTGCCACGTGCCCGCACTGCTTCTCTCCCTGGCAGATCCTGGTGGGTGTCCGTGTGCTGGACATCAATGACAATGACCCCGTGCTCCTCAACCTCCCAATGAACCTCACCCTCAGCGAGAACGCCCCCGTCTCCAGCTTCGTCACCCGCGTCCTCGCCCGGGATGCGGACAAGGGGCCGAACGCCCTCCTGACCTTCGACATAACAGCAGGCAACACGGAGAACGCCTTCTACATCAACAGCACCGTACGGCCCTGGGGCAGGGGGGATGCCGGGATGCGGAGGGTGGGCACCCCTGGCCCCAGAGTCCTGCCTTCCCTGGGCACCCATGGGTGCCGTCTGGCATCCTTGCCCTGGCACAAGATGCCCTGAGGAAAGCGCTCCTCGTGTCCTTAGTACCTATTTCTTCCCTTTTTTCTCGGTAGAGCGGCATCATCTACGTAAACCGCCCGCTGGACAGGGAGCGGGTGGCGGAGTACAGGCTGACCGTCACGGTGAAGGACAACCCTGAGAACATACGCAATGCCAGGCGGGTAATTATGGATGCTGCCGGGGCCTCCAGCGGTGCAGGCGACAGGGCGGGTGGGAGAAGGGGCTCCTGCCAGGGCCAAAAATAGTCAGTGCATTTACCCACAGCATTTCCAGCAGCAGCCTCAACCCCCAAAAGCATCTGGGGGTCGCAAGGAGAGGGCTGCAACCCCTTCTCCAGCAGAGAACAGGACCAGTAGGATTTAGGGCAAGTCCAACATGTTGACTCTATGCGACAGCAGTAGACGTCACAGAAGGTGGGACAAAGTTAGGCTGGAGAGCTGGTCAGCCACAATGACACTGAAGCATCCTTTGGCTCTATCCCATGCTTCACCCTTTGGGGTGTGGACCGGGAAGGGATACCCAGCCCCGGGGTGAGGGTCCCTGCACACCCTCCAGG